TTGGAATAATTTAGCAACGCGTTTACCAATTCTTTCTCAAATAGCATTGAATTATATTTGGTTACCTATATCAAGTTATGCTGTGGAGCATAGTTTTTCTTTATATAATACTCTTCTAAATAATGATCGTCAAAACTTATCAAAAGAATCACTTAAACAACTAAATATGATGTATTTTAATCAAGATGATTAAATTTAATTTTTTATTTAATTATAAATAAAAATTGTAATAAAAAATTTTCACATAATATCACAAAATATTATAAAAAATGCCAACAAAAATCAATAAAATTTACTTTATATCACCATAACAAAACATCGTTCCTAGATCAGTGTGATTAAAGACAAATGGTGCAATTAGCATAATTAGGTTGCAACTCAATTAATTTTTATCAAAACATTCTCCCCTTATTATTATATATATTTTTTAAAAAAGAAAGAAATGAGAAATGAATAATATTTCCTTCTCAAGGTTACATTCTCATATCCTACTTTCATAAAATTGAGCAAATCAAAATAGGTCTGTTCTACTAAAGACTCCAAGTTCTCTTGGGTAGGAAGAATTAAAAAAAAAAATTGCTGAAAGATACGACTGTTTATTATCAATTGTCTTAATGAAATTTAATAATATTAAAATATGATTGAATTTAGAAATTTGTTGTATAAGAAGACAAAATGTTCAAGAAGATATAAATAAAGGGCGACGTATTAAAACACAGCTGGTATGTATCATAATCATGAAGTTATTTACTTTCAGAGATATTTTCACATTCTTATATAACCTCTTTTTTAAGGGAGATACATTTTTAAATACTCAAATTCGCCTCCAAAAAGTTGTCTCTATTGCTAATTCATTACATGTTAAATCATATATTATATTGAGTTAAATTATTTTGAATTAAATTGTAAAAAAGTATTTGCTCTTATAAAATGATGTCTATTCAGGATTTCTTTCGCAAAAATCAGAGATAATTATTCAAAAATCACGAAAAGAATTAAAGGAACTTAAATTCGCTTATAAATTTAAGAAAGGTATATATTATCAATATTATGTTTTAGTATTTAGTCTTATTTTTAGTCTTTAATTAATTTTATATTAACATTAGAATTATACAACGAAAATGAAAAATTTGAAGGAATTTTGACAGCACAATTAATAATTGTAAGTGTATCTTGATGATGATAATTATACTGAGTACTTATAAAAGTTATGAAAGAATTATGTAATCAATATTTACCCTATCATAAGCAAATTATTGACAAATGTAGTAATAAGGTCTAAATCACTTTAGGAATACCACTAAATAAAAAGTTCAAAGTTATTAATCAAGATTTAAATACATAAATCAAATAAATTTTACAAGAAAGATTGATTAAAAGAACACAATTGAAAAGAAATTCAGATAAAATTTTAGGAAAGTTTTTTTTTATCGACTATATAATATTTATATAATTATTTATTTTAATTTCGCTCTTATTTTGTTTTCTTTTTATTTTATAGATATCTTTCAAATTATGATGTGAAATATTTGATGATACTAATTTTTATTAGCAGCTTTTGAGAGAACTTATAGAAAGTTACATAATTGATACAGGTAAGAATGTAGATTTTAGTTTTTACTTATTAAGATTCTGTTTAATTAATTTTATTATTTATAGTTATTTTTAATGTTACAGACAATCCAGTTGTACTTGGAATTGCAATTGGTAGTAATTAGACAAGAAAAAGGTTGATACTAAAACAAGTAAAAGAAGAAAATTAAGGTTATTTATTCTAAAAAATTTATTAATATTGAACGGATATTCTTTTTCATTAAATTAGCAAATCTAAACCAAAATTTTTCACCTTATTTTATTTAGATATCATGTTTATGAAAAATTACAAAATTTCATGATACTAATTCCAAGTAATACTTGACATGAAGACATAATTGATGAATTATGCATTTTTTATTTGGATAAGAAAGTTTAGATTTAAGTGAAAATGAATTAGATCAGAAATAGAACAAAAAGGACAAAATAAAATAATTAAAATTAGTTTGAATGATTTGAGAATCTTTGAATCACAGAGTATCAATTCTGCTATCATAATAAAATTAATATTTGATTTATTAATTATCTTAATGGCAAAAAAAAAAATTTTTTCTTATGCAAATTGTTATTAATATATTTCAATTAATATAACCTATTAATATGTTTATAATTGAATTTATAATTATTTTAATTTTGAGATGACTTGAGCTTATATAACTTTAAATAAAACAACTTTTTGTAATCATCATATAAAAAATTAAGCTATAAAACAAGAAATTTCATTATTTCACAATTTTATTTATTTTTATTTCATATCCTTAAATAATATAATAGTTAATATAAAATAATAATATATAATCATGAGAAATATATATGTATTACTTTAAATAAAATGTATAACTAGCTGGAAATCTGATTTATATTCACAGCCTCCCGCATGATAACACAATAATTATTTACTTCATTTTGAATCTGTCTTGTCATTGATGAAATTGAAACAGTAAAACCTTTGATCATTCTTTTTTCATATGTAATACAATGGTTTAAATTTGTAATAATTATTTCAATAGATTCAATTTCTCTTTCCCAATAACTTTCACAATAAGTTATGATCTTATTGATCTCTATAAGACATTTACTCATTTCAGATAGACATTGTGATAGCTCTTCTCTAACTTCCTTTGATAAGTATTTTAGAAAGTCACTGTAAACTGAATATTCTTTAGTAATACAATCATGGCCTGTAAAAACAACTTTACTGTAATATCAAAGATTTGAATTTGTTAATGTAGAAGTATGAATATCTAACCATAAATAAATTTAATAAAAAATATACTTAAAAAATTATCTGCCAAAATATGCTGCTGCACTAAAACTAACGATAGCTTTTTGCTACTAAAGATGCTTCACTTATAAATGAAGCAGTTGCTAACGTAATTGTAACATAAACTGTAATAATTTCTTTATAAAACTTAGCATTTGACTTTACGTCATTTTCTATTTCATCAACTTCATCAATCTTTTTATGTAATTCTTCCCTACATTTCATAATTTCATTATCATATTTAATAATGTCAGAAAATATTTTTTCTAAATATTGTTTAATTTCGACGAGTAATTTTTTAAGTAAATCTGAATTAATCTTATTTAACCTAGTATTACTCAAAACTGGATATAAAATTCTAATAGTTCCTCTTTACTAATACCATCATCATCACAGAATTCAGCAAATAAAATAATGTCTTTAGAATGAGAACTAATTTTGAAATACTGAGTTATTGATTTTTTGGCAAAATCTAGAAATTTATTCCTCTGTTTAAAAATTATATTAAGTTTCATTTGAACAAATTCATTTTGTTCAACTCTAAGTTGTTGTATTTTAAAAAAATGGTTAATAGATTGAATAATTTTATGTTAAAATTCAGTTAGGTTAAGTATGTTAGGCGTATCATCAGCAATTAAAACCTGAGGCGCCATTTTAATTTGCGTTAAAAATAAACCTTTTTACAAGTTTGAAAAGAAAAAAAAGGTAACACAAAATATATAAAAAAATAAAAAAAAAGGTGGATTACAGGTATTTTTAAGGCCAGTTGTAGAAGTTTCCTGCGCTATCTCTCGAAAAAAAAAAGAAACTACTGTGTAAAACAAAGTTAAAAAAGTTAAGATCACTTCAATTATTATATTCAATTTCATTATTATTTTCTCTTACTGCAACTTTATTCAAGATAACAAAGATTATAATGACTTGTTTAGTCCAACTTATGAATTTTAGTCATTATAAAGTTCATGAACCTGTTAAAAAAAAAAATTTAAATAACTAAATATTATAAATCCAACACAATGTATATGTATGCATATGATTTTTTAATACAAATGTTAAAAAGTTCTATAGGATCAGTTTCTAAATAGTTTTATGTTATCAAATCCAGTTTAAAGTTTTTTAAACTAAATTGGAACTTGTTGGTTCTAGAACTATCAATATTAAAAATTTCTAAATGAATTGATTAAAAAAGTATGATATAATTATTTATCTTAAATATTAAAGTGTTATCCAAATAAATGTTAATTTCAAATAAATATGATATGATCATTTATCTAGAATAATAAAGATTATTTTTTCTTATATTATTATCTTATAATACTAATGACTGAAAAATTAGTATTTATGCAAGTTTAACAAAGAATTTAATATTAATCAATATTTTAAAGAGAGCTTTAAAGTATGTTATTTTCAAATAGACATAATATAATCATTTATCTAAAATGACAAAGATTAGTTTTTCTTATATTGTTATCTTATAATACTATAACAGGATTATTATAATATAATTAATCTACATAATGTAACATGAATAGTTATATAAGTGATATAGTTAATATAATTAATATAGTACAGAGGGTCTTTAAAAGTTTACGCACACTTTTTTCGTATGAATTTACTCAAAATTTTATTAAAAAATTAAGCAATTTACAAATAATAAATAATGTTCCTAGACTATTAAAATATATATTTTATTAAGGGTTTAATACTTGGTCAGATCACCATTTGCATTTATTACTGCCTAAATTCGTTAAGGTATACTTTTGATTAAATTTTCAATTTTTTCGAAAGTAATTGATTTCCAAGCCTTTTGTACTTGTCGTTCAAGTGAGAAAAGGTTAGTGGACTTTAATTTTCAGCTTTGAAGGATTTTTTTAATTTCGTCTTATAGATTTTCGATCAGATTAAGGTTAGGGCTTTGAGCAAGCCATTTAAGGGTTCAGATATTTTTTTTTGCACGAAATTCTGTAACAATTTTGCTCTTGTGATAAGAAGCATTGTCTTCTTAAAAAATACCATTCCTATTTAGAAAAAATCACTTCATAGTAGGATAACATGCTTGTGTATAGTTTCAAAATGCACTGCACTATTTACAGAACCAATTAAAGAGATAATTGACCTTAATCCTTGTGCAGAAAAACATTCCCAAAACATCTGACTTGAACTGTGCTTCACTGTCGCTGAAACATAAGCAGGTAACTATTCCTCAGATGGTTCTCGCTAAATCTGGCTAGTACATGATTGTTGAAATTGAGAAAAGTTGATTTATCAGTCTAAAGAATCTTTTTCTAGTCTTGCACAGTCCAGTGTGCATGCTCTTGTGCCTATGCAAGTCGCTTTACTATATTTTCAGGTGAAATAAATGGTTTTCGCTTAGTTGCATAATTATTTAATCCAATAATATGAAGTGTTCGACAGATGGTAGGGGTAGAAGCATCCTGCCCTGACTTTTTTTTCCAAAGAGCTTGCACTTTACAGATACATTTACAGCAATTTTTTTTCTTTGTAACTAATTATTTAAATTGATTACGATTTAGAGTTATGAAAAAGCACGGTCATCCAGAATGTGGCTTTATATCAATAAACCCAGTAGCTTATACCTTCTTATATAAGCTGAAACTGCAGAGGGTTCACATTTTACAGTTTCTGCAATTTTTCTGCATAAATGACCAAGTTGATATCCATAAAGAATAACGCCTTTTTGGGATTCAGTAAGATCTTTTCCTTTACCCATTTTTTAAGGTAAGGTTAAAAAAATTTTTTTTTTAGTTTATTTATTCTTTTTTAATTAGTGTAAGAAAATTCACACAGTCGTCTCAAATTATAAGTGCATAAAACAAATTGTGCAGGGTTTACAATTTTTGTGAAGTTTGTGATGTTTATTATATTTATGATATTGGTGATATATTTAGATAAAAATGGTGGCCCAATCAAATAATAAACAGCTTAGTACAAAGTTTAATTTACTATTCTAGAAACAATATTTATTATTTGATGATCATTTGCTTACTTAATAAAAATATTATTAAAATTCATACAAAAAAAATGTGCGTAAACTTTTGGAAACTCTCTGTAGATATACTTAATATATATAACACAGAAAATTGCAAATTGATATATTTGATATATCTGATATATTTGTTATAATTGATATATCTAATATATTTGACATAACTATCATATCTAAAGATGGTATTGCAATTAGTTATAATTAAGTAATGCTTATTTATTACTGATTGCAACTAATTATAATTTAATTTTGTTAATGTTACAACTAGTTGCAACCCTGTGATACTTATTTATCACTGATTATAACTAATTACAATACTATCTTTAATCATATTTAATATATCTGATATGACTGACAAACTGATATAACTAATATGTCTAACATATATTATATATTATATTTATATTAAAAGTATATAAAGAGGATTAAATTCATAATTGGATAATTATAATAGAAAGATATTAATCTAAAAAATCAACTGATACAATATGATACATGTGATTAAAAGTTATATAACTGCATCATTTAAACAACGAAGAAGGTAAAAATGAAAAAAATGAATTAAATAAAAGTTATGCAAAAAACCCAAAAGATATAGGAATTTTTTTTATTTTACTAATCATTTTTGCATTATACAAAGTGTTTATCGATCTAGAAAAAAAGATTCACTAAGTAAAATATGTAAAAAATCTAGTAATATTAAGGTGAAATCTAGAAAGAATCTGATCTAAACAGCTTAATTCAACTAATCTAAAGTAATGATTATTAAAATAGTAATTTATTTTTTCGATTATAAACAATCAATTATTATAAAAATAAAAATCACTTTGAAGAAATAGATATCAGTTTTAAAACCTAAAAAAGGCAAAGATAATCTGCTATCATTAAAAACAAAAGAGGGTTATCCCTTGTAGAATTATTATTCAAGTTATCAAAACCTTTTAATTCGTTATCATTAAAAACAAAAAAAAAGCTATCTATTGCAAAGATAATATTCAAGTTATTAAGATCTGATAATAAATATAGTATATTTATTTCTCTTCTTTTTCTATTAAATAGTATACTATATATTTTATGATCTTTTGATCTTTTTCACTTTACAAATTTTACAAATTTTATAAAAATAAAAATGTGACCGCGTGAAAAAATTCACGCACTTTTGCCGGCATTCTTAGCCTCAAGTTCAGCGATACGCTGTTTCAATACTTCAAGCTCGGATATCATGATTGATAAATTTTATACAAGAAGTGGAAATATTCAAAAGCTAGCTAGTATATATATAGAAACTGTGAAATTTACCAAGAAAAATAGGTTATGAAGTCACCAGATTTCCGGGACCGCGCGGTCTCGGAAATCACGTGATTTTCACTGGGCGAAAATTTGCCAAGAAAAAAAATTTTTTATTAATACATGCAAAAATAAATACAAGATCGGGGGCTAGCGTGATACATATTATTTTTTAATATTTTTTTTTGATTCTAGCTCTCTTGCAAGCTGGAGAACTATCTACATTAACATGATCCTTTAACAACCCAAAAATAATACTGATTACCTTTGCTCATCATTAAGCTATAAATAGAAGTTGTACTATAAGATTTAATATACTTGATTTTATTTAAGCCCACTTGTTCAATAAATTTATAGACTTCTCAGCTCTCTCGAGTTTTCTTGCGTAAACTATCTCATGATACATCTTGAAGTTGTAATCCTGTTTCTTGAGATCTCCATTTATGAAACAAATTAAGTTATTTTGTAATGGAATGATACAGTAAGCCACTTGCCTTCTTTTCACTGAATTTACCTCCAATATTTTCTATAATTCCATTGAGCCAGATTATGAAATCCTTTGTATAGAAACACCAGCATAAAATTTCTTCCTAAATAGCTTGATTTGCTTTATCTTAAGCATCAAAAGCTTTATCGCATAACTGAGCTAGATGTTGTAAGGCCTCATCAATGCTAGATTTTTTATCAGAAGTAAGTTTTCCAAGACATAATTCTCAGAAATTTTCATTCACATGCTTGAATGCGTCATAATTAGTAATCCATACGAACTTTAAACTTATTCTCAAGTAATAATCTTTCAAAAATATGCCTTTAATAAGTTCTTTAAGATAGTCTATACTCACTACACTCTTTTAGTTTCAAATAATATTCCTTTACTATATAATTGCCTTGAACAATTCTCCCAAATAAAAATTTCATTCTTTTATACATT